TCACGAGACCGGTAGGATGAACTGTACCCACTCGAGATCATAGTTTGGGCACCAACTGCAACACCCATCTTGATTCCATCACCAGTGCAATGCTCGCCATTGGTAGTGGACAACTTGAGCAAGTCGGGACGGTACTTGGCTAAGAGACCATCTTAGAGAAATCGGCACCATAACCACCGGTAGCGAGGATAACAGGTCCCTCCAGCGTATATGTCTTGCCACCCTTCTCATACTTCACACCAACAACATCACCCTTTGTCATTCTGAACAAGCTCAGTAGCACGAGCCTTGTTCATGATCTGACACCTATCAGGCAGAGCCTTGGAGATAGCCTCGGCCATTTGCATTTCAGCATAGGTGATAGTCATACCAGGGAAGCGCTCCTTTCCACGATGGGTACGCTCAACAGAGTGACCACCCAAACGAGAGAGTAGAGAAAGATCGAGATCGAAGTTATCCATCAACCATTCGACGGAAGCACCAGACGCTTCGACCATGGTCTTGATGAGTTGAGGATTCTTGGAACCACCCTTCATGCAATCGAACTCGAACAGCTCATTGGAATCCTTGATGCCAAGTCTCTTCTGAGTCTTAGTGCAAGATCCATTGATACCAGAAGTGGCCTTGGACGAGTTACCACCACAGAAGGCAGACTTATCGATGAGGATAACTTCGCCACCGCGTTCCAAGATGGTGTTAGCGGCAGAGAAACCTGCAAGACCACCACCAACAACTATCGCAGGTCTACGAGGCTCCGTTCTTCCAGTAGCTAAGTCCTTCAAAGCTACAGGCTTGGCAGATTGGAAGAAAGTATCCATCAAATCCTTGCCGGAGATACGACCATAGGCAACACAATCAAGTAGAGAATTGCCACCTAAACGGTTGTTGCCGTGAACGCCTCCCATGACCTCACCGGCAGCGTAAAGGCCGCGAATAGGCTTATCGCCCTCGCCAATGACATGAGAAGAAGTATCAATCTTAAGACCGCCCATACAATAGTGAACAAGAGGAGTGACAATAGCGACGCTATAGTGATCGTCCATCTTGAAGTCGTAGTTCGTGAAGAACTTCTTGCCGAACTTATCGAAGGTCTTGCCGGTCGGATAAGCATCATACTCACCACCATCGGGG